AGGCTGGAGACCCGATCCATTACTGGATCGTCTCTACAGCCTCCTCCATGGGCGACGACGTCGACGCACGAACTACATCGGAGGCAGCCTGGGTCGACTGGCTAGCCCCCGATGCTTGCTGAGAGATGCGGGGAGGCTTGCAGCCCCCCTGCCCCATCTGGTGATTGGCGGGCTTGTTACCCGGGCACACACACCGGGCAGTGAGGGGCGGCAGAGCATTCCACCGCCACATGCCCCGGTCGACCACAGCGGAAACAAAGTCCGCTGCAGTCGAAGCAGCTTTGGCACTTGACGCGCGTGTGCCCCGATGCTAGGCATTTGTAACACCTCATCGGTCTCGCCGCCAGGACTGTGATCCTAGCGCTCACGAAACCGATGAGCAGCCTGCCGGCGTCGGCCAGTACTTTGGCCGACGCTACGGGACAGCTGACCCACACGGCGCCAAGCCCCCCTGGACCGGGGCGGATGGTGCCGACCCTGATGTTGTCCGCGCTGCACCCCGTCTTCTCCCGGATTACAGCGCGGACATCTTCAGCCGTCACAGAGTCGTCCAGGCCCGAGATGCGCAGCTCCGCACACTTGGTAGGCCTGGCGATCTTGACACCATCTGTGGTCGCGAATAAACCCCGCAGCCTCTCAGCGAAAGTGTCCGCCGTCTTGGCGCCTTCAGCCCCTGGGAACTCGAGAACTCGAGCTCCCGTTTGGGCGAGGCGCATCCTGACCCCCACCGTCCCAAAGTCGTTGGCGAGGCTGTCCCGGGCCTTTTTAAAAACGGCCGCGTAGGACAACCCGCCGTCAGCCGCCTCCGGGGACACGGTCACCACTACAGCCGCGGTTTTGGGCGGCTGCAGCTTCCGCGGCCTCTTTGCAGAGGCCGTTGCCACCGGTGGCGAAGGCTGGGCTTGGGCTGCTTTTTGGGCAGCCCTTCTGGCCCGCCTTCGGGACTTCTTGGAGCCCCTCGCCTCCTGCCAGCCCTCGTTGGAGGGGGCAGGTGCGGAGGGGCCCGGCAGGGGTGTCGGAGTGGGGAGCGGAGGGAATGCCACTCCGCTCCTCGGCGCCGTTTTAGGCCCCGTCTTGGCCGGGACGTCTGGGACGGCGCCTTGGCCGGCGCCTGGGCCAGTGCCTTGGCCCCCCTCCTTGGCTTTTGGGGAGCCGATGGAGTCGGGGCAGACGCCGCCGCCGCGTAGGAGACGCGGCCTCCCACTACGGGGAGCGCGGTCGGAGCGGCGGCCTTAGGCCGCTGTGCCGACGCGAGCGGGGGGCGCATAATCGGCGCAGGGGGCAGTCTCGCCTCCAGGCCAGCCAGGCGTCCGTCCAGCATATTCCCAACTGCGATGAGGATTTCTCGCAGTTGGGAGTCAAATGCCCCTGAGTTGGTGGTAGGGGCAGGCTGGGACGCGGACGGGGCTTCCCGCTCGGGGAGGTTCGCCTGGAAGCGGGCGAACTGAGCGCTCAGCTCGTTCACCCGCTCCGTCAGCCTCTCGTTGGCCACCTGTAGGCGCGAGACGTCGCCCACTAGGCCCTCGACGACCTCCGACAAAGCGGAGGAGGAGTCCTTAAGGGCCCTCACAAACGAGCCCTTAAGGTTCACGGACTTGGTGGCCACCTTTTGAATGACGGCCACCGCCGCTTTCGCCCTCTCCTGCACGGACACGGGAGCCTGGGGGGCATTTCCCCCCACCGGCTCCCGAACCTTGAGCAGGAGATCCGCGATCTCCTCCTCCGCTACGGCCTCGCCGTCCACCCGTACACTTCTGTAGGACTCCGCGTTTGAGAACGCGGAGCCTGACGGGATCGCGACCGAGGCCGGTTTACGCGCCCTCCCTCGGCGGCTGCTTGCCACTTTTGGTGGCATCATTTCGCCGGACGAGTCGGTCTCCTCTTCCCTGGAGCGTCCGCGTTTCCGGCTGTCGCTTCGCTCCGCTTCCATGGCCTCCGCGCCATCCGAGGAGACGGCGGATCCGGAACGAATACGATCCGATGCTCTTCGGCTCCCAGAGACCAGCGTCAGACTGACTTCTGGGAGCCCCATCGAGATAGGCGTTCCCGACGCCACCTCACCCTCAGTGGACGACCCATCCGCTCCACTGTTCTGCTTTTCCTTCCTTCGCTATGCTTCCTTTTCCGTTAGGCTTGCCTTTTTCGTTAGTTGCTTGGTTCCGATCGTTTTTTTTGGTTTTTGAAAATCTTCCATAATAAATCCCACGAGTGGGGGAGAACTAAAGGTCCACCCGGGCAGAGATCCCCCATTACCCGGGCAAGCGTAAGTTTTTAACCCAACCGAGGGGTCCGCAGGTACCTCGGCTTGGAGTGCGCTCGCGACTGAACTTCCCATCAGCCATGCATCCCCTGGCCACGCACCTGAACACGGGATTCGGGGAATTTTTTAGAGAGGTTATCTTCCTCGCGGTCCGGGCGGTTAAGCCAAGACCCTCGCCCCCGATCAGAGCCGCGAGACTTAACCACAGCGCTCTTCTCGGGATTACGATATGCCGACGGTTGACAGGGAGACTACGTCCCCCTGCCTGCTAGGTGGTATTGTGAGTACACGCCGAGCCCGTCCTCCTTTCTCCACCGCTGTCAGCGGAGAAACTGTGGCCCCTACAGGGCCCCGCCATCAGGTTTTTTACCGAGGTTTCCTCCTCCATGCTCCGAAGAGCGAAGAGCCAGCAGGGCAACCGGCAGACACGCCCACCCTGCTGGACCAGGCCTTGCCCGAGAGCCGATGAACGGCTACCTCTTCTGCTAGAATATTAGCCGCTGGCGATAATCCTCTCCTCCAGGAGGACAAGGAGGAAACAGTACCATCGCCAGCGTTTCCAGGGTGCACCACGAGGAGGTTTTCTAGCCAGCACCCCAAACCCTATACCAACCCGTCTGGCCAGCGTGGTACAGTAGGCCAAAACCTCCTCTCTAAGAGAGGGCTATGTCCATCAGTGGACTATTAAGGTCTGATGATGATGATGATGATGATCTTAATACACATTCATTCATAATATAATTATTGACATTATTACCATACTAATAAATTAAATTACAAATTACCAAGGTTAAAATTTAATCCTTAGTGACATTTCCATCATCATAACACATACATAAAATAAACAGACGAGACAATAGATATTATATTTATTCATTATATTATTATTATTCAGTTTAATCTTATTATTATTTTTTACTGAATTCACTATCTTTATTGTACATTTCGCAATTCAATTTAACGCGTCCACCAATGTTCAAATAAATTTAAAGTGAATACCCCCTTACTATTTTAAGTGCTTGCTACAGCAATGTCGCATATAAGGGTAGTCAGGGGTCAGTCAGCTGCACCAGGGACTTCCTTTCTAGGGTATACCTGGTTCCCCGGCTATTAGTACCCGAGACGGCGTGCGGTTTTAGTCGGTTCGAGTCCGACATGATACCATGGTGGTATCCGAGGGGATTTCCGCACGGAAAAAAGGGGTCAGTTAGCAGGGGGCAGTACACACAGCACCTACTAAAAAATCTTTTTTTAGTAGGTGCCTACAACATAAAAAGCATCAGCTGCCAAAATTTCAAGTATAGAGCCCCAGCGGTTAGGCTCTGTGTGACGAATCAGTTAGTCTAGGCAAGTAGTTAGAAGAGTACAGAAGATAGTAGTGTAGAAACATAATAAGGTAGTTAAGGATTGAATAATAATATATCTGATATAATAAAAGAATTATGATTTGCTGCATGCTGTAATGTTGGTAAACGTCACCCGTAGCAGTGTAGCAGTTTTCGTAGAGGTTATAGTAGCAATTGTCGTAGCATTATGTAGTTAGGGTTACAGTTTCTCATCCAAAGGAACCGTAACCATTGTGTATACGTTTTGTATATATGACATGATGATTATCTGATGAAAATGATCGTGTATATAGCATCACGATTCTTTGTACAGTGACAAAGCAGAATTAAAATGGAACTACTACTACTAAAATGGAAGAAAAGAGGCTTTAGTGGTTCGTTTGCCCTTATTGCATGAAAAGCTGAGTAGTAATTGTTTCCCTTGCATCTGATAAAATGCGTTTTTATTTTGTTTAAGACATCGTGTCGTTACCACCTGCTAGGTTTAGGGTTTGAGCTCCGTTAAACTGACTCACTCGGTGAAGATCAACATAAGAAATGCTTTCTGTGAGGCCGTGCTATCACGTCGGTCGAGCCCGCTCATATTTGTTAAAGCATGGCTATTCCACTTTTAAAAACTAGGACAGGCTCTATTTGTAGAGTCAATGTCGTCGATTCTTTCTTTCTCGGTGGGATCATTTCAGAATTTTATATTTCGAACTTGCATCAAAATATTCGTGTGGTGACGGATTAAGAATACGGAGTATCACCACCCCAATTCATCCCATGGGTTTCGTAAGAACCGACTAAGTCAAATACTATGCAGGACAAGAGCGCTGCAAAGAGAAGGAAAACTTGACACAAACCCTATACCAACCCGTCTGGCCAGCGTGGTATAGTAGGCCAAAACCTCCTTTCTAAGGAGAGGCCTATGTCCAGCTGTGGACTATTAAAGGCAGATGATGATGATGATCAAAATAGTTATTTGAATAAGCAAGATTTTTAATTCTAATCCGCACATCAGAAAACAGATGGCGTGAGATTGTTATGAAACGCCTTTTATATAGATATTTGGTAAATTCCAACAGAGAAACCACTGCTAAAACTCAAGTGGACAATTCTTTTTGTTTGGACAATAATTCTAAGTAGTTTTTCGTTATTTACCATTTCTTTAAAAGAATACTAAAAGTTTCTTTAACGTAATTCGTTCGAAGTTTAAAAATTCGGGGGGAAAGGTTCGTGTTTTTCTGTTAGCAACACATTTGCATATAGCCAGCTAATAACAATTAAACATTAGTGGCACAAACTACTTGATTAACAAACCAACAGGTGTGAAACATACAACTAATATAACCGACTGGCCACCGGCGCCTCGCGGTCTCCCCCCCCCAGACAAAGGTTTGTTTTCGAACGCGATGGAAGACAATGCCGGCCCAGTGACCGAGTGTGAGCGATCGACCGGCGCATGCGCGAGGAGCAAGCCTCCCGCCGGCTCAGACAGTCAGCCACCGCGCCGCGAGCGAAGTGCGCGTCTCCACAATCGCGTACCAATACCATCTCGTATACTGAACAACCAGTGGTCATCGCTACATATTATATACCCCCATGCGTTCTGTTTACAATACCACATTATCACGTGCATCTGGATGTACTGGCACATGCTAGACGCACGTGAACCGACCACCGTTTCACTCCACAAACGTTTCTGGTGCGTATTTTTATGTACTTTAGTGGTTTCTTATTTTCTAGCAGATAAAGGTGTACTGTCAATATGAGGTTGGTTAAAAGAATATCTTGATACCTATTAAACGTTGGGCGATTTTGCGTTATTTCACGTGCCAGTGAACAAACGTCAAAAGAATGGACGCTAGAACGTACCAGCCCGTACTATTTCATTGAAAGCTAAATATATTCGTAAATGTAAGTGTATTTCACTTGTATTTCTAGACAATTCTATAGAATTTTTCACTTAACACATAAGAGTCGATAATCTTGTGACTTTTAGACATATTCTTTCAGCTCTATAGTCTATGGTGTCAATTTTATCAAATTAAAAATCATCTTTAATGGTCGTGTATCGAAGAGCTTAAGAACATTCGTGAAGCAATCAAATTTATTATTTTATTCGCTAGTTCTTATTGAGTTTCACAGTTTTATGTGAATGTGATATTTAAACGAATAAATTCCACATGTTAGAGGTAGAATAGATTTAGGCTATGGAGTTAGTTCGTGCGGAAACTACTTACGCACGCAGGGAAACTTACTGCCTATTAAGGCTTTTTTACCAAATGTAACTTTTCATTATATTTATTTTTATAATAAATGTACTCTTTGATTCAAGTTATAATAATAAGAAGTAAAATCGATCAAAGAAATTTAAACAAAAGGATAGCGAGTTTGTTTTATTCTATCAGACGTAATCTAAATAATTATAACAAGTTTTATAAGAAGCAAATTTTACTATTATTGATGTGGCAAACTAAGTTGTTGGTTTATTAGATACTCCTTAATCCACGCAGCAATAGTTCTACGAATAGTATTTGGTTCATTAATAAATGGAAACTATATAATGATAAAATTATTATATTAAATGATTCAATATTAATTTTGTAAGATCATTTATAGAAACTCTTTTCTAATATCTAAAAGTACTTGTAAAACTAATAAAAATAATTATTTAAATTTGTATTTTTGGAGGTATTATTACCAAATACACGTATTTTTTAGATACCAATCTACTTAAAAAATGTGCTTATAGTTCCGTTTTTATAAAAAGATTTTGTTTCTTAATATCATGTAAAAGTACAAAATTGAATTTAAAGTTTACAGTCCCTCACAGATTTGAGAGACTAACATGTTGTACGTAAAGTAGGAAGACGAAAGCGAAAACATATTAAATGCTTTAATTTTAGTTTCAATTTAGATAAAAAGGCTTCAATATAATTTTTATTTTTTCTAAACAAGATTAATTTTCTATTGATCACATTAATCTCGGTAAAATTATCTTAAATGTTATAAATACGGAGGAAATCGGTTTGAATTGAAGACTCTACTTCAATAAGAAGAATTGAATTGAAGCCTATAACACTTTATAAAAGATAACGTTCAATATGATCTATTATTGACAAGCTAAAGAAGGAGCGTAGGGAAGGAGATTATAGAATTTCTATTATCGACGCCCGATCCATTTACAAATGAAAATTGACGCCCATATTTCCAATGAAAGAATATTATTTTCAACTTTATTTGAAATAATAATTGTAATAGCACACAGCCTGACAGATAAAAGCACCTATAAAATTTACATAATCAATTTTACTGTCAGTTTTGCGTTATGGTTATGGGAGGAAACGGAGTTGATTCACCTGAGGCGTATATAGGCCCTGGTAGTCATTTTCGTTCCAGTGATTGCTGATAGCTAGTTTTTCACCCATTGAAACAAAAAAATTCAATCTGTGAACGCGTTCTTAGTGTTAATTTTATGGTATCAAAATAACTTTGTAAGTAATTTATAAAACTCTGAACTGAATTTTCGACAGTTTCCTTTTGGCGGCTTCCAGAGACCAACTAGAAGTTGACTATTTTGAATGATTTTTAAGCAATTTTGTATTGAATTTAAAAAAAAAATGAATTTAAAAACAAAAAATAAGTTTTGTATTGAATTTAAAAAAATGAATAATAACGAAATTTAAAAATTAAGTCATTAAATTTTACTTGGTCTTGTAAAAACCACAACATTATTGGCGAAGTGAAGAAGGCTCTGTAGACGATCGGTTGACTTCTATAGTTTTCTCCAAAAATATTTATTTTTTGTCGGCATCTAAGTCGGTTCATAACTTGATTGATGTCTATATTTTATCGGTTTATTTTTGATATATGAATTAAGCTGATGAAGATATGGAACAAAAATTGGGGCTAATGATCCTGCGGTGTTAAAAAGAAGTTCATTTTGGGTCATTACTTTTTGGTCATCTTGATATGATCACCTAAAATATGAAATCAGAATCTCATTAAAATGTTCAATCAGAATAATGAATATAAAAATAAATGGAATAGCGACTAAGTATGTAGATGAGTTTTATTTTATTGTAAAAATTAATTTATATTGACATCCGGTTGTCGCGGTAAAAAGTACCCTATGTTACTCGATGATAATATAGTTTTCCATTGGTGAAATAATTTTTAGAATCGGTATAGTGGTTTAAGCGTGAAAGCGTAACAAACTCTTTCACAGTTATCATAAAAGTATTGATATAAAAACATTGGTGGGGAAAATAATTTGTTATTTGTAGTTCTTTAGTGATAGAGATCGTTATTCCTGTATAAACCTATATTTAAACGTACTGTTATAAAATGTGCAAACAGGTTTGTGAGTTGTTCTATTTTACGTTTTCTACTTAAGTCTAGTTCCAAATTGATAAATGGACTCTATATATTTGCCTCGTGACAAATGCAGAAGGAATTACAATAGGATATTGATCGTTAGACTAAACAGTTGAGATAAAAGGCAAGGCTAAGAGTAGGCAGTATGTTTTTATGTCTTGGCAATCTTTTAAAAGCAAAAAAATATGAAATCTATTACGAGTCCTTCTAGCCCTTTTGTTTAGTTGATTTGTTGCCTTGAATTAAACTCAAAAGCAATTTCCTTATCTACTTTACTTATGTTTTCATAGCTTTTTTTTAATTGGCAAATGCTGTTGGTTTTGGTCTAAAATATTTTTTTATAATAATAATAGTTTCACACATAAACATACTTATATATTTCTAAATACATACATATTATAGATAAATTACACCCAGACACAGAACAAGCAATCGTGCTCATCACACAATTATTTGTCCTGGGTGGGACTCGAACCCACGACCTCTGGCGTAGCAGTCAGGGTCACTAACCACCAGACCAACAGGCCAGTTTATATAATAGATTCTTTCTTTTGAGCTTTTTACTACTAAAATTGTAATATTAAATACCTAAAAAAGCTTGGCTTCAAATATCGTGGAATAGCCATGCTTCGGCACGAATGGGACAGCTCGACCGGAGTGATACCACGGCCTCACAGAAAACCGGTGCTAAGCAATTCTTTTGTTGCCTTTCACTGAGTGAGTGAGGTTACCGGAGCCCAAATCCCCCTCCCTTAGACTCGAGCGGGAGGGACTCCAAGGGCGGCAAAGCACTTGTGACTTTTGAGTTGCAGGTGTCCATGGGCGGCGGTAGTTGCTTACCATCAGGTGACCCGTCGGCTCGTTTGCCCGAAAAAAAAAAATTAGAAGTCAAATGTCAATTCTGTCATGTCAATATATTTGACAAAAACTTATGAGTTTTTATCAAATGCATTCAACATAGGTTAAACTTATCTTAGCGTTATTTTTGAATTATAATATACTAGCACCTCAGCTTCGTATGAGTGTAATTTAGGCCCATAAGTTGGTACATATTTGTGTATATATCGTCATTCTGTTGTCAGTCTTGGTGGTAAAAACTGCATCAAACCTGTTAGCTGGAATTAGCGGATGCGTGAAGCTACATTTACATAATTTAATCCTGTGAAGAAACCTGTAAAAAAATGAAATGTGCTTTGTTAGTAACATCGTACCTTCTTAACAGGTTCGACAGACTGATTTTACTTTAAAAATATTTTCTAAAACTGATCAATGAATATAACAAGTTATCTAAAACGTACGTTCGTATATAAAAAAATTGTTTTATCGTTACGGGTCGTTCCTGAATTTCAGTATATCCACTAACCAACAGTTTCTCAAGATTAAAGTACTAAAGTTTCCCACAGTTTTCTTGCCAGAATTATTTGAATATTGACCTAATTCATTCACATCTTTAAATATATAATTCTTCTGTGAGTGTGTATGTCACTGAACTTCTCTCAAACGACTGGACCGATTTTGATGAAATTTTTTGTGTGTGTTCAAGGGGATCTGGGAATGGTTTAGATTCACAATTTTGTCCGCTGGACAATGTTTTTTTTAATTATTTTTAATTTATTAGTAGTTGTTGATTTTGGAATGTTTTACGTTGGATCAGACAGACGGCGCTACCGTCGCAGTGTCAAATTTGACAGGACAACGTCTGTCGGGTCCGCTAGTTTATACATAAAATAGATGATCCATTTCAATTTTATTATCTCGACCAATGCTCCAAGTACACAGTACACCAAGTCACACACACACATACATTTAAAGGTTTTAGCCGAAGGGTAGGTCGTCGTAAGGTAGGGGTGAGGGTGAGTCAAAATGCCTGTGGCCTTTAGTCTGTATCTGTCGGAAGTCTAAATACTATACAGATAGATTTATTTTCAAGTGCCATCTTCGATCCGAAGGTTGGCAAACAAGGTTATTCGAGTTTTTGATACTGTGGATCTGAAATGTTGGTTTGTTGAGCAATCGAGCCAGTCTCGCAAGTTCTGTAGTCAGGAATGTCATTTTCCTCACACGTTTCTTTTTCCTTGAACTTTCCTTGTGTAAAAATTGCAGTAGGTTCTTTGGCTATGGCTAATAGGATCCAAGAATTAATGAAAAACTTGCAAAAACGGGGCAAACTTGATTCGTTTTGAATGACGCAAACAAAAATGTGCAGGTCAACTAGTGTGATATAAAGTTTATAATTATATGAAAATAGCGACTTACACTGTAAGTAGACAGCATATAGCTTGATGCTGACGTCTAATGCCCAGAAGCGGATCTGGTATGATCAACGCATGGAGTTAAGTAATAAGCTAATAGAATGGTGATTATTGTAAAGTGCTTGCTATTTTTTTATACA